CAAAGCTTAAAAAACAGGCGTGTATTTAGCTTGACTGTAACTTCAAGCTTAAAACAGCCAAAGCATTCTTTACTTCAACCCGTTAGAGTTTCATCAGCCATCATTCATCATGGGATCTTATCATCCCATAAAGATCCTTCCACTGATCTTCCACTTAAGTAAAACATCTGAGTTCCTCCCAACAGTACTGTATGTCCAAGTCATTCGTCATTTAAACCGACAGAACAAGGCAGAGGTCCTATGTTAAACAAGAACTTGACTGATTGTTGAATTGTGAATATGCTTTTGGAAAAGGTTGTCCATAACCCTCACCCTTTTTTTCCCCCACTCAAAAGTTGCCGTGAAGCACTTTACCCATGACCCCCTGTTTCCTCAACAAGTGAATCTGTTACTGGGCCTGAGCTCCCAGCAGCGTTCCTCCTGTTTAGGAAAACACGTAAACTGACGTCAAAAAAATAGAAGTGAGCAGTCGGGTCCCGTGGCGTTTCTCGCCTGGCCCAGACGCCCATATGAAAGCTGACTTTTGTGTGCCGGACAACTCTCATACAAGGTGGACGTTGGCGGTGTTTTTCCTGGCATGTCTTGAACAAATATGGACCAATTAAGCTGGGCTGCCTGGTGTGTGCAGCCATGATCTACAGTTTCACTTTGCATTATTTGAGAAGGCTTAGGAAGTAAATCTGTACTCCGCAGAACAAGAGAGACAGAGATGTAGAATACAAGCTCCTGCAATTTCCCCGGGTTAGCATAAATCCCAGGCTCAAGCAGATGTCTAGTGTCTTAAGACAAGCAGCACGTCCCACGCCAGCGAGCTGCCACACGGTCTGAGCGAGCTGCGGTGGCAGAGCAGCTTTGACAACTTTGGCATAAAATATTCAAAAACTCATACATGCAACTCCCCTGCATATACGAAATACAATTTGTGGCTCCTTTTCCACTCAAATCTTGGAAGTACATTATTCATCTCAGATAGTGTTTCAACTTTCTCTCCTTCCCTGCCAGCAGTGCTCCCACCCACACCAGTGAATTAAGCACCCGTCTTCTAATTCATCACAATATTCTTCCCTCTCGTTCTCCAAAAGCTGAGCCCCACTCGTGTGCACGTGTCTGCACGGTGGAGAACCTTTTTACCTATTTTGGCCAATTAACTATTGATTAGTTTATTCCATAACAATCTTATTTCATGCTAATAGCGCATCATTTTTAGGTAAAATCGTTTGTACATTTGTAACATAATTAGTCGCAATATCGTGTGGGAAATTGTACTTAATCCTCCATGTAAGGATTTAGAATTCTAGTGGCATGAAAAATAAAAAAATGGGTTTTCTTCCACCACTGACTATACGCATATGTTCAAGATTTGAAGTATAATCTTTCCTGTTATTAAATAGCAACCGTCAAAAATAATAAAGATTTCTCCTGGAGCAGTTTTGTTCATTTTTTCTTGACTTTTTAGTTGTTCTATAAGGTTTTCAACAAGTATCTTTTGTGTTCAGTCACAGTTTGCTTCCCTATTTATGAGACCTGGAGCTGCCAAAACAATTTCATTTGCATGTGTTTTGTTCAAGGGTTTGTATCCCATTGTTTGAACGCAATCTCAAGGAAAATATTTAGGCAGTGAGTCTCTCTGTCGTGAAAACGAACAACATTTAAGATACCGAATTGACACCAACACAACTATTCGCAGGACTGTACTGTTTACAGACACCTGTTTTGGAGTGACCTTTTATAACCCTTCTTCTGGATACAGTATGTTACAGTTTTCCATATCTATAGAGCTGTTATATTTACCAACAAACACAGTAGAGAGTCTTTCCTCTTCACCAGTGGACTAAAGTGAACTGAAAGCAGTGAATATTTCAGTTATTGATTCAACTGCAGATACTTTTCTCTGCTAATTGGAAATCCCCAAAGCTGAAGTTAATGCATTATTGATTTAATAATGAACAGATATTCAGAATCATGATGAAAATGAAGTCCAAACATTTGACAAAATGTCAAACTAGAGGAGATTGTTTGCATCAAGAGGAGATTGTTTGCATCCCTCTTATTGGCTTCGTGCCATTATCTTTGGCACGAGCATTTTATTTCTGTAGATATTAGATTAATAAAATTGTATTGAGACATATAAATCCCGTAGAGTTCTTGTGCCAATGAATGAATCCCTGGATATAATACAATATAAATTGGAATATTGATGGGAAATCTTTGATGTTGAAATTTGCTGACCGCATACGTAATGCAGTTGGCTCCGCTGTAAGGTCCTGCTCCGTTATTGCCGTGATTTTCTAATAAAGGAAAGTGTTGACTCATTACAGTGAGGGTAACAACTCCAGATCAGATCCGGGGCTCTTAAGAGAAAGGAAACTTGGGGGTTTTCAGCCTAGAAGGCCCCGGTTCTGGTGACAACTGTGTGCACACACAGATAAATGACTGTGTCAGGATGTGTGAGCACGTGCATGTCTGTGTATATGATGGCGTGAGACGGGTGTCCACAGCCCCTTAGTGGAAACTTGGCGATGAGCCGACCATTGCCCATGAGGGCTGGTAAACACGCTGCGATGGATCTCAGTATGCACACAAGTGCCAAACCCAATGTAAACTTGTTTCCATCACTCTGTTCAGCCTGTTCTCTTCTTCTTTCCCTCTGATTTAGTCTTTTACTTCTAAACCACGCTGCAACCTCATTGCACTCCGGCCAAAGTGTGATCAAAAAGCTTCTCTTGATAATTGATAGTCTTGATAATTCCATATTCAAGATTGTTGTAAGCTACTTAGACCCACATTTGCCTGAGGTGTCGACGTGAGGGGGGTCATCAGTTCATTGTCACGCTGGATATGAGTGGAGCCGTTAGGGGCTCCGGGGTGAAGGGTTTTAGTGGTAAACAGCTCGGCAGGGCATTCACACTTCCTGAGTATACATCAGATCTGTCAGCCGCAGTCCCAGAGCCCGTCGTTGGTCATCGGATGACTGCCCCCCCCCCAACGCTGCTGTCGACATCTAAACCAGATGTCGGATGAATTGCTCCTCATAAAAAGATTCCTCTTTTACAATGGACCGTGACATTGCCAAATAGGGTAAGACGGTTACATGTGCCTCCCCCAGTCGTTAAATTTCTTACGGGTAATTCAAGATGGCTTCTAGAGGTGTTTTTAGGGACAACCGGGTTATTTTTTTCTCCCCGCGATGATCTTATACTGGGATGCTGCTTGCGGAGAGTGATTGATCTTCATCTGAACCAGAAGGTGATACCTTTGAGGAAGACGCCGGTTATGATGAGTTTTATTCGTGGCCATTGACAGTTTGCAGGAAAACAGGGACGGCTGTTGGCTTTCACAGTTGACAACGCAGGTTTTGTTGCAAATATTTCACATCTGGCATGACGGTAATTTATCTCTTGTTTTGATATAACCTGCGTCATTTCCCATTGTATTACCACACACTACAGTTGTTTTGGACAACCTGTTACCTTTCACATAATGGATTTGCCTCTGAAATGTAGAATCCTACAAAGAAACATGAATGCTTGTATGTCCCTATTTTCTGGCCGACTTTAACTCCTCTCTCCTTATGTCTCTTATCTTCTGTTTGTAAAAAGAGAACGTTTCTGTTCCCGTCATCCATGAAATAAACCAACCAGATGAAGCGGCGTTTCAACTCCTTCAAAGAAATGTTACTCGTGGGCTTTGATAAGATGGAGAAAAAAGTAGTTAGAACAACCTGGTCACACTTGAAACCAGCAGCTTCCCCATGTGATGCACTGCATTGAAAGAGCCGTCTGGCACTCAGTGAACTTAAGAGGTGATGGACAGGACCTGAACTCCTCCTGCTGATCACAACCGACAAGGAATATACACTCTGTCCACACCGATAGGTTGAAGGAGTCCCACTGACCCGTCTCAGGCTGGAATAAGCACATCACAGAAGCGAGTCCTAATTAGCTCTTTCTGTGTCAAGAAGGCTGCCGCGGGATTTCCACAAATTAAGGCAGGACGTGCGGCTGCAAAAGCACGAGTATGGCATGATGGCGCTTTGTCTATTAGAAAACGCTGGCCTCATTTAGAAGCTGTGAGAGGACCAGATGTTGAAAAGCTTCAGGGATTGAGAAGAAGGAGCTGAAGAGTCGAGGAAGAGAATGACTAAACAATTTGTGCGTCACTTTCTTTGTTTTTGCATCAGTAAATGTGAGCGGGATCACATGTGCTTGCTCGGTTACATTTGTCTAAACTGTATATGTGAGAGGGCGTCATCCCATGAGACCGTTACATGAGGGGACGTGTGCATCCCAGACTGTGAAGCTGTGTAAGCTCACAGAAGACCTGGATGCTGAAACATTGATGGAGACCTTCCACTGTGATGCGGCACATCGTAAGTGACACTTAAAGTGGAATGAATATTTCAATGAAGGAGAGTGGGGGCATCAGGAGTCAAACTGGAGGGAAACAACAGTCATTTCTCACGGAGAGGTCCCATTTCTCTCATGAACATGTATATTCTTCTCCCTTTTTAGAGATCAGTTCATGATAAGACGGTGGAAAGCCCCCCGGCTGTCTCGGTCACCAAAACCACAAATCAAAATGCACTTATTGGGATAAATGGTCGTTAAATGTTTGGGCCTAAATACACAACCTTTATTCCACCCAGAATGGAACTCACTGGGGAAATTTAGATCAACTTTTTTTTTTTTTTTTATAAAAACAGTTTGTGTTGCTTTCTGAATACAAATCTCCACAAGATAAGAATATATGTCTGTATGCACAAAAATGAAACATTTAAAAATATTGAAGCGGGGAGGTAAATGAGATTAATCTGATCTAAGGAGGACAACGCCTGCTGGGCTTTCTGGGGAAAGAAACGGGGGATTGGATTGCAGTACACTTATCTTACTCCCCTGCGTGGGGCCGCAACTCGGGGGTGTGAATGAGCACAAACTCGCGGCTGGTTGGAGAGCTGGTGACACAACACACCGGATTTGCGCCTCAAAACGCCGAGCGAAAAGCTGACGCACTCGATGTTAAACTGCTCCAAAGTAAAAGGGTCGCCTCTACTTTTTTTATTTTTATTTTTTAGCAGAGACCGGAAAGTGGTCACGCATTTATCTCTGAATGCCCACGGAACGGGACTGATGTTTGGCAAAGACTGCTGCTCCTGCTGTATACGGACCGGGCCGTGGAGGAGCCACAAAGCAAAGAGAGAGACAGCAGAAGCCAAACAGACGGCGCGCTCCGAAAAGGAAGGAGGGCAAAGCAGAACGCGCGCGCGCGCGTGTGTGTGTGCAGAGAAGCAGCGCCCTACATCTGAAAGACTTCTGAGTTACTCTGTCGTTCAGGCTCCTTGCATACTGTTTCTCACCCCGCAACTGGTAAAACCAAAGGGAACGCGCAGAGTGGCGCCACATCTCCATGCGTAAATGGAGACCCGCCGGTGCATATTGGCTGTACTTCTTATGCGTACAATATATTATGGTTGTCACTAACTCTCGTCCTGTCCCACGACCACACTGCTATAGGTGCATCATAGACTTCCTCATGCATCATATCTACCATGAGTGATGGCGATGCCTGCGGTATCTGACAGTACCGGTGCGCAGAGCGCTCTTGAAAACACCTTCAGCGCACCGGATCGCAATGGGTACTCAAAAACACGTGTCATCCCACTGTGCGCTGACCGAGATTACGAGTCGTGGGTGAGGCTAATGTTCTCAAAAATACGGAGTTCCCACAGAATCCGGAGTGTGGTGTGCGTGGGGTCGCTCTCGCTCTTGCTCGCTCTGTTGGTCAAATGTGCAGACTGGAGAGCTGAAACCAGCAGCAGCGCCGACAACAGACTCTCGCATACATCGTCCCTCTTTCACTTGGTTTCGGGCTGCGCGGCGGAGCTGTTGCAAACTTGCTGGAGTGTCGTCCCCCCTCCGCTCACCCTCGCGTGTGCCTTCTTTTGGGTCGGCGTCTACTTAATCCGCTGCGGAGTTCTGATCCGGACCGTCGTCTCCCTCCTGACCCTGTGCCACCTGGGCGAGGCGGCGGCGCGGTCTCTCCTGGACGGGACAGATGAGCGGCTGTTTTCGTTCGCGACAGCGGCCGTGGTCGTGCTGGTCTGCGTGGCCGCCGGCTCACTCATGGTAGCGCGTCTGAATCAGGGCATATCCGTGGTGGTTTTCATTAGTCTCGTGAGGACCATCTCGCTCTTCTCGCTGCACAAAGTGCGGGCCACTTGGAGACCGTACGTAGCGTACCTGGTCGGAGTGCTGGGCATCCTGCTGGTGAGGTATGCTGACAAGCTCCTTCCCAACCAAGGGAGACACAAGGAGGGCTGCACCCCCGTGACAGGAGCTAGGGAAGATATCCCTGTGTTTAAAAGGCGCAGGAGGTCCAGTTGTGTGGTAGCCTCAGACATGGCACACAGTCAGTCCAACAGTAAGTCACGTCGCCGGACCTCTCTGCCATGCATCCAGAGGGACCAGGTAAGGAGTTTCTGTCCCGTTCAACTTTTATGTTTCTGCTTTGTTTTCTTCTTTCCAATGAGGACTTTTGTGTTTGAAGCGAAAAGGAGGGAGCAGTGGAAAGGGAATTAAAAAAAGTTACCACTTATTCAAGATTTTCATTATTGGTATTATTAGCATTATTGTTATCATAGTTGTTCATTTAAATAAATTATTCACGGTTGCCACGTTTATTTTTAAAGGATGTCACTAACCAATAACAACAACAATGCTAATTATAATAACAAGGATTCAAGTAAGAGGGATAATAATCATTCTAATAGTTAATATTATGTGTGTAAATGCCATGCTATTGTTTCACATCGCAGTGTCTATTACACACTTTGCAGCATTTGATCTTTGCTGCACAGATCATCTTGGGACTGACATGTTTTCATATTCTGTGCCACTTTCAGCCATTATAAGGCAAACATGGAATTAACAATTGTCAATATCTCTTCTTTTTTACCTTCTATGTAACATTATTATCATATTTTAGACTTATAATCTTTTTTTTTTTGTTTATAATGTGCACCCATTTGACCATGGTGATCATTTATTACCTAGATATACAGTACAGTTTACATTTGGTACTTTGTTGCTGAAGGGAGTGCTGATGAGGGAAGGAAGATGAAGACACGATGCCAATGATTCATCTCACCCCTAATTATTTAGTTTAAACATTCTCCCATGATCTCTGAGCCACAGCCTCAAAACTGACAAATGCATTATTGTCTTTCTGTCCTGGACTTTAATACCATTAGCTGCTCATCCCTTATCGGGGATTGCAGTCCTTAAACTCCCGGAATGCAGCAGCTGGCTTCTACTGAAGCACATGCATACCTGTGTTAAAAGGAGACGAGCTGACTCGTATCGGTTCCTCAGCCCTCCTTGTGGAAAATCAATGAGCCTGCTGAGCATGTGAATTGGAAACAGATTTTTGCAGTGATCAAAGCTCTCGTTGTGACCAGTGAGCGCAGTTAGGTTGGAGATGAGAGGCTGCACTGTCGGCCGGGCCACTTGAAAGATGCCCTCCGCTAGTTAGCGTTGTAGTGTGCTTGTTTGTTTTTCTTCGTGGTGGTACTCACACACTCCTGCAGTCAAAAATCAAATATGAAAAGACTCTGGAATCTGCACAGTAATGTTTCCACTATGGTAACAGCGAACATAAGCAACCAAGGAGAAAACCATCAATCCAATAAGGTCCCTTTTATTTTCATTGCAGCGAACCACTATTTTCCAAAACAATAATTGTGTAAAAACAAGTGGATGAATGCCATTGCTCTTGGATTTTTACTTTAAGGGGATTCACGATGGACCCACTCAGAGAACAATAAAATCAAGACATCGGTCGTAAACAGCAACGGCGGCCATTAACACGTATTTTTGTGCTTCGTATCGTCCCCGTATAAGCCGAACGGGATGAGACCAACGGACAATGCTAAACATTTCCAGCATCTCTGACTCTTCTCAGCTCCGTCACCCGGCTGGAGCCCTCTGCTGAGTGATGATCTCAATTACATGTATCTCTCGGAGCACCGCTGTCTCTCTGGAAGTTCATGGAACCTTCCTTTTGACGTTTTGCTCTCACCTTTGGTGGCGGTGCGAAGCAGTTGAGCAGTCACGGCCTTCCCGTAATTGAGACACACATGGCGGACATGTGCTGTCTTAAAACCGTGTCTCGTATGTGTGGTCTGTAATGTGTAAACAAGCCCATGCTGACCCATACTAGTCATCACCTCGCTCACACGAGATTGTAGCCATAAGGGAGGGGGGGGGGGGGGGGGTGGACGCACGTTTGTGGGGCTACCGCGCAACACAGCCACACGGTGACTGGAACAACAACGCACGGCGCAACAAGTCGTACTGACTCTGCCTGCAGGTCGAAATTGTACGCTAGTATTGCCAACATTTCCCAAGTGCCGCTCCTCAGTTAGATGATCTACAGGGGCTGAAGGACGTTTGGGTTTTTGCTCTGTTCAACAGAGTTACGGTGTTTAAAAGAAGCTGTAAGAGCCCCCGTGACGGGGAGTAGATCTGCACTTTGTTGACGCGACAATGTTTGCATGAGTGCTGTCCGTCTGAAGTGGATGGAGAATAGTGTGAGGTTGGAGGGGGGTTACAGTTGGTGCTTCACTTTTTTTATTCTAAGGAGGCTTCTCCCACAGAACTTTCAGCCTTATATAAAGGCCCTTCAGATTTATAGTCACTGTGTAAAAACAGTTTATTCAGAAAATAAATAGAGCAAAGAGGAATCCTTCTGTCTCCTCTTCCTCATAGGCCTTAAAGCTGCCATGTTGTCTCTGCCAAAATCACGCTCCGAGGCTATGCTTCACTCTGCACAACTGTACATTTAATAAACAGCCATTTCCCCTCCTTTTTGTTTACAGATTGTCGGCCAGCATCCATCTCCTCCACTAATAGGTGCATTTCGCAACGCGGGTGTCACCCTTCCCACCGTGAGCGTAATAAAAGAATTCAATTATCAACCGATCTTATAGTGGTTAGTGGGACCTCTGTGTAATAGTTCTTCTTCTTGGGTTAATACAAAATGACAGGCGGTTCGTCTGTATTTCAGCTGGCAATACTGAACTGGAAGAGGAGGTGTGGATCGCTTTTCACAGTGTGTCAGGAAATGTGAGTCTGAGTCTCTCCTGCTGCAGACATCAGCACTGCCACAGAAATTCCTCTCCTCTCGTGCAGAGGAAAGCAGTCATGCCATGTTACCAGCACAGGTCCAAGGTTTTTACCCAAACCTACCGGAGCTGCAGAGCTGATTAGCCAGAAAGGGGAGTAGACATTAGCAGCACACCTCTTCTTTTTTCAGCTGATTCCCCTTAGAAAGCTTTTACAAGCCAATCCCTTTTCTGACAGGAACTCCACAGCCCTCGACTCCCTGTCCTCTCAATGACACCAACACAAATATTATCCCACCAGAGGAGGAAATTCTTCCTTAAGTTGTATGATAAAGATATTCTTGAAATCTATGGTAATGACTTCCTGTGGAATTGGATCCAAACACAATTACTGTTGCCGTTGTAAATGTTTCCAGTTACTCTATTTTTGCTGCATCGTCCATAATTGAATTGTGCTTTTGATGGAGGAGGTTGTTGATAGCCTGTAGGGCGGAGATTTACCACTGGGCCACCGCACACTCTCATCCCAAACAGCTTGTTTGTATTCTAAACACATAGCCTCGTGGGATGTGATGGGTTTTTTTTCTGACTGGACTGGCCTCTGGGCTGGAAACGGTCTCATTGAGAGTGGAAAGAAAGCTGATACCAGCTTGTCTTGTGATTGGCCGATCCAGTTCACACTTTCAATCTCCATTCAGTCTCATTCTATTAGCTGCGCTGTGCGTGTTGGAGGAGCCAAAGGGTGGAAGTATTGGGGTGAGAATGAAAGTAGGTCATTCAAGGTTTTGCTCAGCAGCCAGGCATTATAGCAGGCCTGTTCCACCCTGTCTACTAGCCTATGTTAAAGGATACGCATGGAGGAATTTAGTGGGATTTATTGGCATATAAATGGAAGTATTAATAGGTATGTTTGCTGTATTTCTTTGAAAATATTGATTGTTTTTAGTTTAGAAAGAGTCCTACGTAGCGAGAGTCCACCATGTTTCTGCAGTAGCCCCATTTGGACCAACCAAAGCTAGAGGCTAACGTTCTTATTTTAAAAGGCTTGCCTCTGCCTCAGTAGTTTTGCTACATGCTTGACACACAACAGGGCGTTCAGTTGACTGCAATTTGCAACCTACCTGCTAGATAATGCCAAACACCTTTAAAGTTGAAGCATGAAATAAGCGTTAAACTTTGATTTTTTACAACTAAAAAGTTGCAATGCAATCATTTTACCAATCATCCGCTCTTTCCCCAACAATCTAGATGAGCCATTTTTAAAGGAAAAGTTCAACATTATATATTCATATTATTGTTATTACCTTTTCCTGCAGTGAGTCGGATGAGAAATTGAATGTACAAAATGTATGACAGGTACATATATAAGAAACAGCTAATTGTTTATTGCATAAAAAAAAACTTGAACTAGGGAGAAACAATTAAACTTCACTTGTAGAGCTGTTTTGTTAGATCTCAGTGTGATTGCAACGATGGTAAAAAACTAAAATAAGAATAAATACATTACAGGTCATTTAGCTGACACCTTTATCCAAAGTGATATTACATTTTTAACCCATGGCATTTTTTTTACATTTTTGCCCAGGCAGCAATTAGGGGTTAGGTGTCTTGCTCAGGGACACTTCGACTTGGGACAGCCAGGACTCAAACCACCAACATTGCGGTTCCCAGCTCTGTACCCCTGTGCCACGATGACCCCTAATAAAAATAAATGATCCATATGACTTTTACATTGCTCACCCATATGTACAATGTATAAGAGAAGCTCGTGTTGTGGTTCTTGCCCTGTGTTTCTGATCACCTAAGCCAACCAGAGTGCCCCTCTTCCCTCTCTTCCCTCTCTTCCCTACCACTGGCGCGACCACGATCTGGCTCCATTCTGATTACCATGGAAATTATGGAAGGACGTCTGTGTGAGCATGTGTGTGCATGTAAGCGTGTGTGTGTTGCCAGCAGCTTGATGGCTGCCAGCTGCCGCAGGCTGAGAGGTTGAATCTGCTCGTAGAAACACAGAGGGCCTCAAACCACAGACACAACCCAACGCAGCTGGAACTGCTAGACAGACACAGGCCTCCAGTCCCAACACACAGCACACATATTAACACTTCAGGATCCCGATAACTGCCTTACGTTTGAAAAGAATAGCAGAATTTCAAGTAAATTATCGATGTGTGTGTGTTGAAGAGTAGATAACACACACTTTTTCTTCTTCTGTTCTCTGTTCCAAACTAATGGAATTATGTCACTCAAGTTTTCTGTCATACCATCAGAGACTATTTTAGTGATGGAGGTGAGCGGAATGTTCCTGGCACAAATGTGTGTTTGCGTACAGTAAGAGGGTGTGTG